AGAGACAGGTAAACAACTCTAAGACAACAGATATGCACTGTAACAGATCTGCTCAAGGAGCCAGCATAGCACAGAGGAGGCTATCTAAACTAGTCTACAGGTCAGAGGAGGTTCCTTAAAGGAGTCAGATGGCACCTGGGCTGAACTGCAAGAGACAAGGAGTTAGTCAAGCAGAGGAGAGGGACGAAATCCAGGCATAATACCCAGCAGACACAAGGAGTGAAACAGCGCAGCATAATCTGGAAACTGACATAATATACTATTCATGATTAGAACTTGGATCAACATGAAGAAATGTAAGGAGATAAACTAAAATGAGATTATGAAGGGCCCTGAATGCTTCACTAATGAGACTTCATCCTAAGGGTAATGGGAAACCCAGTGAATTTTAAGCAGAGGTATATCAGACTTAGGTTCTCAAAAGATCACATCCTAAGCAGGAGAATGGCAACTCGAGGTAAGGAGACCAGTGGGGACGCTAGTGCAGAATTCGAGGAAAGAAGTGATAATAACCTCAAATAAGGTAGAAGCAGTTGGGATGAAGTGTTGGAAACAAATATGAAAGCAATCTCGCTTAATGGTTCTGAACGGCAGGCAGTGGTTCCCAACTTGGCTGCACGTTAGAATCGCCTGAGGAGATTTTAGAATTTCCTGCTGCCCAAGTCTCACCCCAGACCAACTGAGTCAGCAACAGAATTTTGTAAAGATTACCGGGTGATTCCAAGGTGCAGCCAGGCCTGGGAACTACTGTCACAGGAGAATGTTGGAGAAGTGAGTTTGAAGAGGAGGAAAGGTTCAGTTTTGAACCTGTTAGTTTAAGATGCCTGTGTCTAGCTAAACTTGGATGTCCAGTAGGCAGTTGAATGTGAAGTTGTGGAACTTGGGATAATTTATACTAGCATCTATTGGGAATTAACAACAACAACAGTCAGAATGGCCAATATTTATTGGCTACCTACCATGTATCAGGCACTTGGAAAAGTGCTTTTCATGTATTAACTTAATTAACTCTCCTAATGACCCACTGAGGTTGGTACTATTGCTACACCCATTTTACAGATGAGTGTTTTACATACATTACCCAAATCCAACCCTCCCAACGACACTATGAGGTTGATGGCTGTCATTATCCCTGTCTTTACAGATAAAGAAAGTGAAGCTCACAGAGAAGTAACATGCCCAAACTCACACAGTATCAGAGAAAGGATATGAAGACAGATCTGTCTAACCCCAATGTCTGTCGCAGCTAAAGCCATAGGGAAGGTAATGTTGCCCAGGAAGGCATTCTGAGAAGAGAAGGAGACCAAGCCAGAAACTTGGAGAATACTAATATTTAATGCAGAGGCAGAGGCAGAGGAGGAAGAATCCATAAAGGATGGGAGGGAAGGAGGAGGAACAGGGAGACACAGCAAAAACAAAACAAATTAAAAAATCCCATGAGTGTTCAGAGTTATGAGAAAAAAGGTTAAGATAAGCACCACGAAATAATCACTGATGTAGAAATGAGGAGGTGGCTGGAGAAGTAGAACCAGAAACGGGACCTTGGTGGGTTTGACTGGAGAAGGTAAAGAAGTAATGATTGTAGCCTATTCTTTCAAGAGGTCTGGCTATTAAAGGAAGGATATAAGAGTAGTGACTACAGGAAGATAGAGGATTGAGAAGTTATTTTTTTCTCCTTTCTGAAAATGAGAGTAATTTAAGCACATTTGTATCCTAACGGAAAAGAGCCAGATGACAGCAAAAGGCTGAAGACTAGAAAGAGAGACAGGACATTTGATAAGCAAGGTCTTTGAAGAAGCTGCTGCTCTGGACAGGAAGTAGACTTCTTTCCTTGACGTGGAAAGAAAGGAGGCAAAGTTGTTAACATGGAGAAGCCTGTAACTAGGAGTAATAAGTAGATGGAGTTGTTTACGATAGCCTTGAACACCTCGATCATCTGCTTGGCGGGAGGAGAGGATGTAATTTATTTTTATTGTATTTTACAAAAGCATTGGCCTGCAACATACTGGAAAAAGATTAACTGGTCCTATACCACAATTAGGTTGAGAAGCATTATACTAGACCATAAAGGCTAGATAGAGCATGCCAGAAAAGGCGGGGTGGGAGTGCAGACAGGAGAAAAGTCAAGGTAGACTAAGAACTATGAGCTATGGATAATTGGCCTGTAAGAAGAGAGGGGTTGCCCCAGTAGATATTGAGACTTGGGATAAAGAGATAACAATGATGTGAACCAGCCAAAGTCTCAAGGAAGGTGGGAGAAGGGCCAGAAAACAGGCAGATGACAACAAGGAGAAGAGCTGACAGTGACTACTCATCTTGATCAAGGAGTAATAATTCACAACAAATGGAAAATTAGGTCCATAATTCCTAGTGAGTAGATTCTTCGTCTGATTTTACCAGAGAGAACACCCCACCCAACCACAAATGTGGGCCTGGACAAACTGGATTAATCCCTGGCTGAGATCATCAGAGTATAGAAATCCCTCCTCAACTGCAAATTTCCATCATGCAAAATTCTAGCACACATACCTTTTCAGCAACTGTGCGCATTTCAGTTCCAGTATATGTAAATTTGGAGTCACTCCTTTTGGGGATAAATTAGAAAAAAAGGGAACTGAGGTTTGGAATATAAAAAGGTATTAAAGGAAAATAACATGATTAGCAGTTTTTACAATGAGACCTTAGCAGAAACAAAGGAAGAGGAGGAGAAGTAAACTGAAACTAGAGCTGTGCTCATACATTTGCTAGAAGCAGTCTGGGACACATGCGTAAGTGGTTGTGTGCATAAAGTTTTCACAGGCAAGCTAAACTCCAAGAATCCTGGGTATTAAGGAGGTGGGCTTGAGAAGCACATACTTTGCTATGCTTTGAAGTTTAAATAAAGGAAACCCAAAGCTTTCGCCACCTCAAGCATTCAAGCCACTGGGGATTTCTGAGATCATTGTAGGGCCCTCCAAGGGGAGGCAGAAAGCTATGGACAATTTAGATGGAAGAGTGAGTCAAAAGGGGAAAATGTCTCTTAATATGCGCATTATCCGTTGCAAAGAAAATTACCAGTATCTCATTGTCATTTCAGGGGAGAGAGAACATAAAACATATCAAGCAACAACATGGAAAATAATAGCACCAAATCAGTCAACAAAATACTACTTATAAGAGCTTTCACAGGTTCACTCATGATCTTGGTTCCCTCAACCATAGTTTTCACATAAGGTCATACATATCTCAACTGAAAATCCTCCTACTAGGAAGTAAGGTGAGAAGCAACCTTCAAGGTTGGGGTGGAATTCAAACTGCATTACTGAGGGAGCTCTGGACTCATAATGGTAACTTAAAATACAATGCCTACACAATATTGCCAAAATTACCATAATTTTTACTTAACAATGACATAGAGATTATGAGATATGAGTGAACAAAAATATAGTCTTACCTTGTGTCATCATTCAACTAGAGTGGGAAAGAGCAGAAAACATTATTGATCACATTATGCTTATTTGATATAGATAGACGCAGATTATATGAAAATTAGGTCGTGTGTTCCTGTACACCAGTATGAAAGACTGGAAAATTCTCACTTTGGATTGTAAACAACTAAGCAGTATTTCCTCATCCTGCTTCGCCTCTCTGCAACACTTAACGCAGCAGAAACTTTTGCGTCTTTGAAACCCTCTCCTCTTAGGTTCTTTGATACATTTAAAATGCTTCCTAGAGGGAAGACTGGAGGTGAGGTAGGGGGCCCTGATCGTGGTCAGCTGCTTCCTAATACACTGATGTCCTCACTATACTATGTCTTTCTGGCTTGACTTGCCGTTCTGGTCAGTGGGGTGGCAACTCCATATCTAAAGAAAAGCCACAGACTAAAAGAGAAATAGAAATAGGAAGGGCCCCCAGAGGCTTATGCGGATCGCTGGGGGCCTGTGGGAGGCTGAATCAGCATAACGCGAGCAGAGGAAACGGGGACCCCGCGACAGGACCATCTAAAGCATCTGTCCAGGAATCTAAGTTAGGGCTGCCTATGGCCTCTTCCGCAGCCCTGGGCGCTACCAGCACCCACCCCGGGGACACGCTGGGACTACTCAGCAGGGTTCCGCCCAGGCTAAGTGACTGACCTACTCACCTCCCCTATACACAGCCCCATCACCTCCTCCTTCTCTGTGCTCAGAGCATGGTTGAGACAAACTAGGAAAGCATCCGACTCGAGATGAACCGCCTGCACCGCCTGCACCACCTGCACCGCCATCTTGGTCCGACTCTGCTCACGTCCGCTTCGGGCCCAGTCGGGCCTGGCCAACCGGGTGCTCTGGAGCGCGGGTTCCGCGGGGGCGGGGCTTGGGGAGCGCGGGCGGGGCGCTGCAAGCGCGAGGCGGGCGCGCGGGGGCGGAGTTTGGGGCGCGGGGGCGGGGCCGGCCCGGCGGCACCTGGGAAACGCCCGTGCCGGTTGGGGCAGGCGTGGCTGTCGGGGCGGGGGGCGGTGGCCGGCCGCGGTTGGGGCGTCAGGCCGGGCGGCGGGGGCAGCAGGGAGGCGGCGCTCTCGGGCCGCAGGCCGACGTGGTCTCTGAGCGGCGCCCAGGCCGCCGGGCAGGCGCCTCCCGAGTGCCGGCGCCCATTTTGCCCGCCAGCTGAGGAGAGCCGTGCGCGGCCTACATGCTCCGGGGACAGCCCTTTGAGGCGGTATCGCCGCGTGCGCCGGCCTCTTGAGTCAGGGGAATGCTCCTTTGAAATTCGGTCCTAAGACAGTTAAGGTTTTATTTTATTTTGTTTTGTTTCCAAGTTACGGCCCCTGAATTTCGTGCAACTCTCCCTGGACCACTTCCGGTTGCCGGCCCGCGCCTCAAAACTTCGGTTCGGGTGACCTCGGCCCGGGATGCCCCTTGGCTCGCCCCGGGCTCACCTCCCGATCCCGGCTTGAGTGGCCCGGGGTGGGAAACCTGCAAGTTTTAGCCTCGCTGCTCCCGAGGCGGATTAATTAGTCCAAGAAACATTATATTCATGTGAGTAACCTCTTGCAGAAACAGTGCTATACTGTATCTGAAAAAGTATCACTCTTAAGCTTGGCTGCTGCTACTTTCTACAAAGGCTTTTTAGGTATCTGTTTGCTTGATACAGGGAAGGGGAATTGAGGACTTCAGTTTTTTTCAAGGTCGGATGTATCGCAGCAGATATCCACAAAACAAGTTTCCTCAGCTCTCCTTGTCTTGATCATATGAGACGTGGTAAAATTATATATAATTTTCTTTTAAGGTGTGCCAAACGTGCCATGGGTAAAAGTACAGATCCTCCAACTCCCAAGATTAGGAGTTACACGTGGATTTTAGGAACGATTCTAAATCAAAGAAAAATACATGCCCTGTTGTGTCCACAGCCTATCTGTATTTATATTCCTTTGATCTGGTTTTCTATTCCCTGTATACTGTTGAAGCCAGGCAGACAAGGCAGTACTGGAAAGGGAACATTCCCAACGTGCTAACTTGAAGAGGTGTTGATGCTTTGCTCTTTTCTCCCAAGTCAGTTCCAACCCAAGTTTCCCCACAGATAGAGCCCACATGCAGTGGAACTATCTATGAGACAAGCCAGCAACTTCCATTTTTACCTAATGCTTAGGGATCACATGGCACATCCTTCCATGATTAGTTTTGATAATGATGAAGCTTGGGTGAAATTTCAAGTGTGCAATTACATCGGATCCATCTAAATTTTCTCTTAACTTTCAGTTTCACACCATACATTATTTTCAGTTATGTACTGTTCATGGCTAGTATGTCCTGCCCTGATGGGGCAAGGATGGCTGTTCTTCTCCTTATTATGTTTGGTAATGAGATATTTTGAGTATTTAAAGGGCCTTTAGGCACCTTCAAAAAGGTAAACACCTTTTATTTGTTCTTGTTAGTCAATCTCATATTCCAGAATGACTTCTCTAACTTTTATAATACTCATGGCTGCATTTTACAGCTCTAAATGTTTAATTGGAGTAAAAAAAAACCTATTAACATTTATGGCAAGTTTATTATGTGCTAGACACTCTACTAAGCATTTGTATACCTTGTGTATGTAAACTGCTCCAATTGGAATTGGGCTCTGCAACTTCCTAGCTGTGTGACTTGTGCAAGTTACCTAATTTCTCTGTGCCTTACTTCCCTCATCTTTAAGTGAGGGTGTAGTATCCATCTAATTAGGTGATTGTAAATATTAAGAGTCAATATATATAAAACATATAAGAAGTGTTGAATAAGTGCAGAATAATATCAATATGTTCTTTGAGTCTCATTTTACACCTCAGTTTTTTTAGTTGTTTTCTCAGTTGTCTGAGAGGTTACCTTGTCCAAGGTCACAAAGCTAGTAAGTGGCAAAATCAGGATTCATACACAGGCAAGACTGACTCCAGGGCCTGCGTTCTTGGTAACTTCACCCATTGTAATTGGATGACTTTATTAATTGACTTCAAATAAAATAAGTGTATTCAACTGACTAATGTTTAAAAACTGTTCAAACACCTGGAAAAAGGACACAAAATAATTCATTCTGTAAAGGAAAAATAATGGTTTTATTTAGATTGCTGCCTAAGGAAGCCCTTCTGTGTTGTATATCATCCATTTAAAACATCAGTTACAAAATGCTTTACTAAGAAATAGTCTATCTAGGCCAGTGTGGTCTCTGGCTGTTGCATCAAGATGACCCCCATGGGGACAATCTCTTCTAGTGCCTTCATGGATGATAAAGCTATATAAACAGTTTTGTTAATTCATTTGAATTTGCAGTTGGTAGTTGTCTTTGAATTGAGTGGAACAGGTTTATGTTCTGTGTATTGTATTGTACCTTGTACCTAAGTTTATCTTGAGGCTTTAAGAGATTCATCTTGGTTCAAGGGGTCCTGGATTTTGTGAACAAGTGTAATGTGCAGAAAAACATTCTCTAGTCAAATACATTTGGGAAATGTTAAACAAAGTAAAGTTTCTTTACTGCATAACTTGCCAGAGCTTTTACTATGCTAATGTGCTTTATGACTCTACAAGATTCCCAAACTTATTTGACCAAGGAAAAAGTTACAGGCAAGTGTTACAAGAATCACATTTAGGGAAATGGTGTTCCATTCATACAGCCTGTGATTTTGTGGACTTTGCTCTTAATCCTGCTCACTCAGCCTTTGCTTTTCTCTGCTGAGGATGTTGTTGGTTCATGCTTATATGGCAGCTTTTCAGTTCCTTGATCAAGGCAGTTTCCTTTCACTGAGTCGCCATGCTATCTCCAAGTGGTAGCACATCCAAGTCCAGGGTCGTGTGCTGGGATTTGTTCCCAGGCTCATCCTGCCAATGCCCAGCCTGTTGGCCTTTGCACATCATGCTGTCTTTCTTCTGACAATATTTTCTAGTGACTCATAGGCCTCTTTGTGGTGATTCATACTAATTCAGACCATTATCTCCAATTTGTTTGCCCTTTAGTCCACTGGAATTATTTCCAATTAATGTCAGTGTAACCAGTAAAATTTTGCCATTTCAAGAACAAATTTAAATGTCAATATGTTGGTTGTTGCTAGGACCCATCTGTGAAGTTGAGATGGTCCTGAAACCCTTAATATTTGATTTCTAGTTTAAAAAAAAAATGGCCTTACTTCTTTTGTACTTGAAATCCAGACTTTAATATATTTAATTTTGACATTAGTATTCCCTGGGTTTTTGTTTGTATTCCCCCTTTTCAAAGGCCTGGGGAAGGGGAGAGGTAGAACACTTGTATCTGCTAAATGGAAAAGAAATGGCTTTGAAAAACATAACGCATAGCTCTATAGTACACCTAGAGAATCAATGTATATGTATATGTGTATACACATGTATATGTGACCATCTGTTTCCCCTCTCTACTCACCATACATATCCATCCACTCACAGGAACATTGTTTCATTAGTGTTTGAGACTTAGGGTGCCCAGTACTGTATCATTTCTGCTATCGAGGAGCTTATAATACTGTATTTTGGGGAAGACAGGCCTTGTGAAATAAGCAGAGCAAATATGCAAGGCAATTTGTAATTTGAGGTCAAAACAGCTTTAGTTTACACGTAAACGCTACGTAGTCATAAGAGGCAAGAAGATTTCATGGAGAAGGCAGGCACCTGCACTCTGCTATAATAGTACTGAGATAGGCAGAGAGGCCTACGGAGGCAAGTGGAAAGCAAGAGCAAAGATACAGAGCTAGAAAAGAGCCTGGTATTTGGGGGAAAGTTTGTGTCAAATACGATGGTAGTGGTGCTTGCTGGAATTGCTAACAGATAGGATGTAGTGACTGAAGAAGAGGAAGAAGTCCAACATGACTCCAAAGTTTTGAGTCTGCAGGATCAGGAGAGGTGGTGTTGCCATTGAGAGAAATCAGGATTTCTTTAAAGGAGAAGAGGTTCCACTTTAGGTAAGTTTGAAAAGAGAGAGCCCTATGAGGTGGGAGCTTACCATGGGTTCAGAGTTAGATCCACTCAGGGTACAATGGGCAAAGCAATTGTGATGCTCTTAAATGATTCACTAAAATCAGACCATTTCTTAAGTCTATAAAAAATATTTTCCACTTTCCTTTTAGAGAAAGTAAACTAATAGTGTTAAGGAAAAAAACAAATCAGACTCAGGTTGTTGTCCTTAAAAAGAGGGTTTGGTTTAGCTCAATTAGTTCTTTCTGGCTAACTTTCTCCTGGGCTGCATCATGCTGCATTCTGGCATCTCAGTTTGCTCTTGACAATCTCATTTTGAGGGTTTAAAAATTTCCCAAGCTGTGCTGCAGTTCCTTTCCCATTTAATAGCCACCTAATAAGAACAGGAGGCTTTTGTTTTGTGGAGCAAATCCCCCAATGCTGTATCAGTGCTCTGCCAAAGGTATAAATACAGTGAAACCATGCCATCTTGCTATGAGCTGAGTCCAAAAGATTCATTCTTGCAAAATGCAGGTTAAGTTATTGTGAGGCCTTAAAATGAGACCCAGGGCTAGGCAGAAGATCTTTACAGGGTTAAGCCAAGTCTACAATATGGAAAGTTTGCCCGGGAGGTGTGCTTCCTTTACACCTCTCAAAGGGCAGAGGGGCTTTTCTGGCCTTCTGACTTGGGAAATCAGAATTTAAAACCACACTTCTATGGAAAAATGGGCTCCCATGAAGTCCTCATTATGAAAATGAAACAAAGACCTAGGTAGATAACTATCATTGGCTCTCAGCCCCGAATCACCATGAACCCCAAAGTCTCTTGCAGCTCAAAAGTTTCATGAAGCTACCTTAAATATTTTCCCTAACATGAAAACCTCCTTCTGGAAATACCCACCCACTATAAGTAACCTTTCTAAGTAAACTGATAAATAGGTCGTTTCCCCTTAAAACAAACTTTTAATTTCAATTTAGAAATCCGTGCACATGATTTGACCTTCACAATCTTACCTTTTAAAATGGAAATTGCTTGGAACGGGCTTTTACCTAGGGAATATGGCATGCATGTGTCTGTTATACTGCTTTCCTGCCCAAATAAGTGTGCCCTTAGGAACCCTCCTGTGCATATTCTGTTGCTAACTACATTTTGTTAGATACTCCTTTGTGAATGCAAAGACTGTGAGACCACTGCCCAGCTTCCTGTAGTGCTAGTCCTACATTTCCACAGAACTCACCTAGTCAAATTCTTGAGTGCTTCACAGTCAAAAATTAGCATTACCCGAGGTTGTGCCTGAGTGTCACTTTAGTGTCTTGCAGGGAACTTCAGATGTCTTCTGTTCTATTTAGGCTGTGCAAGTAGACATATGTGAGGTTTGGTTCTGGTTGGTGGTTGCTAGTACCAGGTCACCTTGCTCACTGGTGAGTTCATTCAAACCCAAAAAGTCACACCTGTGTCCTGTGCGCGGGTGCTGCAGGCGTAGGTGGAGAAAAGCAGGGCTAGAATTGGAACCCAAAGCCCAGAATGGCAGGAGAGGATGTGGGGGCTCCACCCGATCACCTCTGGGTTCACCAAGAGGGTATCTACCGGGACGAATACCAGCGCACGTGGGTGGCCGTCGTGGAAGAGGTAACTGTTTACATTTTGCTTATTTCTTTATTGATTTTGTTTTCAAGCAACTTGGTTTCTAACCAGTCTCAACATCCTAAAGTCTTTGGTTTTATTTTTGATCATTTCTTTCCATTAGGAGACAAGTTTCCTAAGGGCACGAGTCCAGCAAGTTCAGGTTCCCTTAGGTGATGCAGCTAGGCCAAGTCACCTTCTTACCTCCCAGCTACCTCTCATGTGGCAACTCTACCCTGAGGAGCGCTACATGGATAACAACTCTCGCTTGTGGCAGATCCAGCATCATTTAATGGTACATATGTTGCTTAATCGTTTTCCATTGTATTGGGACTCTTATAACAGAGTACTCTATAAACGTTTCTTTTTCTGACAGGTCAGGGGAGTACAGGAGCTGTTGCTTAAGCTTTTGCCTGATGATTAACCTGGTATGTATTTCTATTTCTTCCCTGTTCCCTCTTCTTTTTCACTCTATTTGGTTGTGATGATTTTAATGATCAATTTTTTTTCCAGGTGCTGGGATTCTAGGAAGATATGCTCCTCTGTTCCGTTCAGTATATGGCAATCACTTCATCCACCACTGCAGTACACCCACCTGTGGGCCTGGGGGAGGGAGTGGGTTGAAAAACTGCTCAAGAACACAGAAGTTTAGGAAGGGTCATGAAGAACACCACAAGTGGAACCGCAGAGAGAGGGTTACACAGGCAGAAAGCAAGTCAACAAAAGCACTTAGTCAGGATACGTAACTTGAAATTGACTCCTTTGGAAATTGCCATAGAACCTTTAATGGACATCATCAGCTGGAACTGGGATCTGATGAATCCCACAAAAGTCAGCACCTGCTACAGAACAGATGCCCTGATCACCAAGGACTTGGTACTGATTTAGAGAGAAGAGAGCAGCTCCTAGCAGCATCAACATCTATTTGTCGCTTATTTGCCCTGCAGCAATTCACCTGCCTTTCCTTCTCCCATCCTGTAAATATCCTAGGTTTTGCTCCAGTGTTTCCCATCCCAGTACTGACCTAACTTGGATCTACTGAGAACTTAGGGGGCTCTGAAAAAAAGGAGGTTATTTGCATTAATGAAATTAGTTACAAAGGCTCCTGTGCCTTTTTCCTTTCTGAAATTGTGTCTTCAAATTGTTAGAAGTTGCTGATCAAAATCGTGGGCACTTAAATTCATTCTCTGGGTACAGATATTTTAAATAAGTTGGTTTCTGTAAGCTCCAAAAAACATTTTAGCTGCTTAACTAGCACCTTTCTCAGGAAGTGATAACACCAAATATTGCTGATTCCTAGGAAAGTATTTACTACCTGATAAAGAATTTCCTGAGTTAAAATAGTCATAACAGCTTATATATATTAAAAGTAAGGTTTTACTTTTTTAAGTCTTGAGATTAACAGCTACCATATATTGAATCCTTACTGCCTTCCAAGCACTATTCTATGCACTTTATATACTTTATCACACTTAATCCTTCCATCAATGCTTTGAGGTAGGTATGATCCCCATGTTATACATGAGTAATAAGGAAAAAGGCTCAAGGAGTTTATCATTTAGCAAGGGTGGTTCTGTGAATGATAATGCCGGGCAGTGAGCAGGCCTGTCGGGAGTCGGCTCCTGTAGCCCAATGTTGGTGTGATATTCAACATGAGTTGAAGTCAAGGGTTTTCTTTTTTCATGTAAAGCTACTTATATCTTCCAAATCGAATGAAATGGATATTATAAAAATACAGTTGATTCATCCTATGAATGGGAAGAGTATTTTTTAATGTAATTGTTTTCCAGCAATTGTAAGTGCATACTGCTTGCCTCAGAAGAAAAGTCCATCTAAAGAGGCTTTAAACTCTTTATGGATAAAAGACAAAATAAAAATCATTTTTCTTATTTTAGTTTTCTGGATATGCCGCAGAAGGATCCGTGCCAGAAACAAGCCTGTGAAATACAGAAGTGTTTACAAGGTAGTATGTTAAATGCTTTTTTATATTTTTCCACTTTGTCTGTGAACTAACTACAAGAGACCAATTGTTCTTTTTATCAGCAAACTATATTAACTCCTCTCAGAATGTAATATTTCTGTGATTATCCTGAAGATTTTCCTCACTGTATTATCAAAGATGCTGAAAATAAAAAATGATGTAATCTAAGTTTGAGATTTGCAGTCCTGGTTGTACATTAGAATCACCTGGAGAGCTTTAAAAACTTGCCTAGAACAATTAAATCAGACTTTCTGGGGGTGGAGTCTGGGTAAGACTGTCCAAAAAGCTAACCAGGTGATTTTAATGTGTACCTAGCATTGAGAATTACTAAACTGAGCAAAGTCCTTTTTCACAAAGACTAGTTTTAAATGGGTTGGTTATACTTCACTGTGGGTAACAACTCCCTTTTTAAAAGCAATCAGGGTAGAAGAGGGGGGAAATACAAGTGGAATTCAGGCTACCAGAGTCAGCGATTAACTCTTAAAGGCAACAGTGACTAGGGTCTACCTGTCTTGTTTTTCAGCCAACAACTACATGGAATCTAAGTGTCAGGCTGTCATCAAAGAACTGCGTAAGTGTTGTGCTCGGTATCCTAAGGGAAGATCTCTCATCTGTTCAGGATTTGAAAAAGAAGACGAAAGGCTGACACTGAAGTCCATATCAAAGTAAAGTTCTGCTGAGAAGTTAAATGCTGCACCACTTTTCCACCAAGCGAGTTTTATTTATCCTCTTGACTCTTTCTTCAAGCCAGGTAGCAGCAAATATTAAATGAAAAAGTCAACTATAAAAGTTAATGAATATGCCATCTATGCAGAACAGATAGACATGTAACTATATTAAATATGTAGAATGTAATGAAACTGAGCTGCTAAAATAAACCTGCCAAGTGAAAAATTTTGGTTTGGTACTTGTGACCTCGTGACTTATGAGAAATATATCATTGGTCTTTGTCTCCAGTCCTGGCACAGAGCTCCTAAAACCCTTGAAATTTTCCAATAAGAGCCATAAAGGTGTCTTTTGTTATGTTAATGAGGTGACTTTTGGAAAGCCCTTAGGTAACCTGTGGCTAGGGGCTGGTTGCCAGCTGAACCAACAGGTGATCAGAGGGTTGGAACTTTTAGTCCCCACCCCCACCTCCCACTGGCGACCTCCAGGGAGAAGGGCTGGAGAAGATTGAGTTTAATCACCAACAGCCAATGATTTAATCAGTCGTCCCTGGACTTGCAGTAGGTGTCTGAAGTCGGGGTATGTTGTATGACTGAGCACTTAACCTGTGAGATCTGACGCTAACTCCAGGTAGATAGTGTCATAACTGAAACAAATTTGTAGGACACCCAGTCACTGTCCACTGAGAATTGCTTGGTGGTGTTGGGAAAAAACACACATAGGAGTACTAGATGTAGTCTTAAGACTATTAGATACAGGTGTTAATGATTTCTCTTTAGCATTTGAGTTCAGACTACTAGTACCATTCATAAAACTAAAATCATATGAGGTATGTTAGATGAAAAGACACCCCTCCAGTGTCACAATCATGACACCTTTCATTAATGACATGCTAAAGTCAAAGGTTTCTCTAACCCAACTCCATGCCTGTTGCATTTCCGATAATGCAGAGTAAAATGAGTGGTAGGAATGGCATAGAAATTATTCTTGTAGGGGCCAGCCCAGTGGCACAGCGAGGCACATTCCGCCTCAGCGGCCTGGGGTTCACCGGTTGGGATCCCGGGTGCGGACATGGCACTGCTTGGCACGCCATGCTGTGGGAGGCGTCCCACATATAAAGTGGAGGAAGATGGGCACAGATGCTAGCTCAGGGCCAGTCTTCCTCAGCAAAAAGAGGAGGATTGGCAGCAGTTAGCTCAGGGCTAATCTTCCTCAAAAAAAGAAATTATTGTAATGTTTAACAGCTCCTAATTTATCATGAGAGAACTGAAAAAAAAACCACATCATTGGTCATTGGGTTAGGCAGCAACAGAATTAGAATTCTTAGGTGGTTTATCTACTCCTTATAACCTTATAATCAAAACATTACTGCGGATCCTGATGATGTTAATACAAGGCTGCTGGAGGATGCCTTTTAGCAGTTGTCAGTGACTTCATACAGTGGTAGTGGGTGGACAGTATCGAACAGGCCATTTGCTTTCCTCAAATAGGTGCTAGAACCACCATTGCTCCACTCTCCGCCCGCCAAAAAAGAAAAAGAGATGACTTTTCCACGCAAGAGCAGAAACATTGTTACGTCCCTGTCTTAGTCCATTCAGGCTGCTGTAACAGAATAGCACAGATGGGGTGGCTTATAAACAACATTTATTTCTTGCAGTTCTGGAGGCTGGAAGTCCAAGATCAGGGTGCTGGCAGATTTGGTGTCTGGTGAGAGCCCACTTGTTGTTCATAGATGGCCATCTTCTCGCTGTGTCCTCACATGGTGGAAGGGGCGAGGACCTCTCTGGGGTCTCTTTCATAAGGGCACTAATCCCATTCATGAGGGCTCCACCCCCATGAACTAATCACCTCCCAAAGGCCCCACCTCCTAATACCATCACACTGGGGGTTAGGATTTCAACATATGAATTTTGGGGAACTCAAACATTCAGTCCATAACAGGGAGGATCCTTCCTTGCCTCTTCCAGCATGCTAGAAAAAGCCTACATTGCCATGAATGGACTAAGATAGTCTCTGATGTTCAAATACCATTATTTTTTGAGACAAACTTCTTTAAGGCAGCATTCCCCAAAGTGTTTCTAGGAATTGCTGTAACAGCGAAAAAAAGACTCCTATGGTCAGATAAGTTTGGGGAATGCTAGGCTAGACACAAGTAAACAGGTTTCTTTCCTATAACACTTCAGAGCTTTTCATATGCTAATGTGAATTATGATTCTTTGGAAAGGACTATTGTATATAGTACTTGCTAAAGTGTACCTAGTGAACCTATTTTGCAGACAGCATCTCTCAGGGCAATCATTCTCCAGAGAGACTTGGAGAAATGCTGCCTTAGAGATATTTGGTCCACAAACCAGGGTAACAGCGCTACATTCTCATGAAATCATTTAAATGAACTCTTGTGTTAATAGTAAAACAATAAAACATTTTACAACTATGTTTACATCATATAGAAATCTAAATTACATTTAAAATTGTCAATTGATAGTGGTGCTAGGATTTATATTAGGAATCATGATCAAAGATTGCTTTCCTGTGTTTTATTACATTATTTTTATTGAGTTAACTACTCAAGTTTCAGACTTTTAAAATTTTTTCCTAAGGTATACTATTTTATTTAGGGCTTTTAGAGCTTCAAATCAATTGTTCCTTCCTATCTTTAAACTCAGTCCTGTCTCAGTTTAAGTCAACATCTATTGGCAGACATTGATTAAATATTATTATTCTTGGCTATATTATGACATACAGAAAAATAAAATAGCCATCAGAGAAGGTTAACATCTACTGTTTTTTATGTGTTAGGGACCATGATTACCACTGAATCTCAGTCTTCAGGGAAGAACTGGGAAGGTGAGAACTATGATCTCATCCTCCATTTTAGAGACTAAAAAGCATGTAAGTGGGCTACTAGTGATACTAAGTTTAATCACTTGGTTAACTAGTGACTGACAGACCTCTCTGCTGGAAAGGTAGTTTTCCCTTTGTAATCGGTAAGTCATTTGTGGGGTGATATCTTGGCCCCTTATGAATATCCCAGTACCCCACAACCTTTCACCCAATAGCTTTAGCATCCACTGATGACAAAAGCCCCTGCTCTGCCAATATGCTTCGATGTATCTGCAAGATATCTGAAGTTGTATGGCACTTAATTTAAAAGACTTTAAAAGCCTATTAAGTAGTCACTTGTTAGCAGCAGAACAATAGTTTTATTAGCACCAGCTTCCAACTCTGTACTTCAGTGGTTCTCAACCTTGGCTGCTCATTAGAAACATCTGAGGCAAGTTAAAAACTCAGGCAGATCCCGACCAGTGGAGTCAGTCTCTAGGATGAGAGCCAGGTGTCAGTAGTTTGCAAAATTCCACAGGTGACTCCCATGTGCAAGCAAGGATAAGAACCACTGCTCTCAATAATCCGAATGGCATTTCTTACCATTTAACATTCAGAAAGGTAGACAGTTTTGGTGAGTCAATAAGCTGACTTTACAAGTTTTAGAAAAATGTGAAAAAAGTGCAATACTGTCAGTTTTCTTGAGAAAAATAGTGCTCCTAAAATTCATGATTCCCTAAGAATCAAAGATCACAAATGTAAGCCACACCATATGATTTCTGGGAAATCAGGTCCAGAATAAGATGTATTTTCAGCCCAATTCTCCAAGAGATCACACTAACACTAAGTGATTAAGAAGGCCCCATACCTCGACTTCATGACAAAGAAACGAAGCTGATAAGTTGGTGGAGGGAGCAGAGAGGGCAGCAGTCTAATTTTGCCTACAGTGTTGAAAACTGGCCTTAAGTGATCTTCCCTCAGAGAAGAAACAGATCATCATGAAACTTTAATTACACTCAGAAATTTCAAATCCATCCCTATACCGTTTTTTCAACCAGAGATTTATTGTATTTTCCCAAACTATACAAAAGTAGAGGTTTCAAATAAGAACCCAACCATTAGTCATGCCCATATTTCTGGCAAATGTCAAACAAAAGGATGATGGCAAGAACATTCTTACAGCAGGTACCTACACAGTAACTGCATTTCAAAACCATAAGCACCTACCCTGAGTATGTTAGCCAGAATTAGGTAAGATTCATTCTTTTTAGAATACTGTTGTCAGGGAGGGAGGAAATTCCCCCTTCTTCTTGTGTTCTAATGGCTGGAGTAATAATAAAATTGACACAAGGCCAGATTAACAGGAGAAAAACCGAATTTAATTATGTTTGCACGGGAATATCATGGAAATGACGCTTGGAGAGTGAACAAAGCAGGCAGCATATATACCTTTTACATAAAGAATAAATTTGTGATGAATGATAGGACAAAGAAACTTAGGTTTGAGGTAGGTAATTAATGAGGAATTTAAGCAGAGTTTACACTTGAGGTAGTAAATTAATGAGGTTTGTTTCTGCAGGCTTCATTTGCCTGGAATTCCCTAGCTCTGGGGATAAGGATACAGGGAGAGCACCTCTCACATGGGAGACGTATTTCCTGCTTTCTCAGGGAACAGGGACAGGAGGGTCAAAATTCCCTTTTGCTTCTCAAGCAACTTGAATTCAAAATAATCAGTATGCTATTATGGGACATTTTCGGGTGGCCTGCCCTGGTATCCAACACTGTCCTCCAACTTTAATCACGTCCTGTCACAATGACACTCATGACAATGGGGCTGCTCAGGCGGCGTACCCCCGAGCACAAACAGTGTCAGCAATGAGGTTACAGAGCCTTAGGGAGACTGAAAACATTGAAAGCCTACTTGTTGAGCCTGAGGGGGCAGCAGCCTTAAAGCGAAAGCGCCCTTGGATCCTCCGCCCCCGTCTTCTCTGACACCAGGGTGAACTTCGGGGAGAAGGGACTCAAGCATTACAGCTCTACTGTATCAGGTCCCAAATCCTCGTCCAACCGGGTCCTATCACGGGAGGGACGCTGGGTCAAAGGGTGGCCCAGAGTGGCGAGGACACTAGGCGGAGCCGCGGTGGCCTGGGAGGGGACAGAAAGAGCGCCTCGGGGTGCACGGGGGAGGGGCGACACGAACCCCGAGGCGAAGAGCCAAAGAGGAGAAAAGCCTCGCAGGCGCTCTAGCCACCAGATGTGGATGCATTATGTGCTGGTAACGACAACAATCAGAGATTCTCCCAATGCGGACCAAACCAGAGGTAAAGCCCCGAGTGCAGTGTTACCACATCCCTGCCAGCAGGGGGCGCCGAAATCCCGAAGACGTTCAAAATGAATTTGCTGGAGTCTGTACAGACTGACAACGCTCAATCCCTCCATCAGCCAAGGAAAAATTGCTGTCTCCTCAGCTGCCCATCACTAAAAAGGAGGCCCAGCACATTATTGGACTCTGGGTACAGGAGAAAAATACATGCCTCACTAAACAGGCTTCGCTAGTCAAATGAAAATAGTACCTGGTCCTGGTACGTTGGTTTTGCATGAAGGGGTGGCAGCTGTTCTTTTGGGGGAAATCCTACCTTCCACTCCACCAACTGAAGCAAAGCTGGTAGCAATACGGCCACAATTTAGAGCCTCCCCTAAATGCCTGGGCCTACTTCACTGATGGTTCAGCTCTGCTGAAACCCAAGATGTGCACCAAAGCACTCCAACTGTTTAACCCTGGCGCCAGGTCTGCATGGCTGTAAGTGGTGGCCTCACTTGGCAGGCAGAATTCAAGGCCATTCTCATAGCAGTAGGATGAGGCCAACCCGCAACATAGACTTCAACCATGCCCCTCAGGGTCCCAGAAGCAGCTAGCTGGGAATAAACTTCAGGAGAGACCTATAGATCTTATTTCAGTCTGTTATCTATTACAACCCACACAAAGAGGCTTAGATCGACCTGCTTAATCTTTGTTGTCATCACCAATAATCACAGGAAAAATAGATGGACAAAAGGCAACTCCACCCGACTGGAGAGGCATTCAGTGGCCACTCTCCCTGACATGCAACCCAAAGAGGCACAGGGCACTTCAGGTAGACTTTGCAGTCACCATTCCAATGGCCTGGGTGAGTCACACATCATCTGAATGCAATGTGGACCTTATACAGATTTTGATTCAAACCAACCAAAGGTAAAACACTTAAGCTACCGGATATTTGATAGAGAATTATTAATTTTTTGTTATGATAATAGGGTATTATATTCATGATTCCAAAAAAGAGTTCTTACCTTTTAGAGATACATAGTGAAATATGATAAAATGATACATTTGGTATTTGTTTCAAAATAAGCTATAATTTGATCATCATTGTGGGTGCGTAATGGATACATGGGGATCATTGTACTATTTTCTCTACTTTTGTATATGTTTAAAAGTTTCCATAGTAAAAAGTGAAAAAAAAATTAAGTTCTTGTACATAAATATGCAACAAAGAGGTTCATACCATTATGATTTGAGGATGATTGATACATACTGCAAGCAAAATAACTTATGCTGCCTTAAAATATTACCATAATGTAAGAAGGAGAAAAACGCACATGGATGAATTCTAAAAAGTTCCACACATCCACTGGTAGCTACAATTTCCAAATTCAATACATCATTCCCAAGATAAATTAAAAGGCAAACACTTTAAAAGGAAGGCCTTAAAAACACACATTTTGCAAGGGATCACCTGCAAATTTAAGAATTCCAAGTTTTCTGAAATCTCAGAACTCAAAGTCTCAAATAACTCTTTGGATCAGTCCCTTTTCCAGACACCTTTCTATGAGGTCATCATTCATATATTCAACAAATACTAAGTACCTATGAAGCGCTCGGCTCCATGGGTATAATGATGAAGACACAAGCCCTGCCCTCCAGAAGCAGATACTCTAGATGGGGTCGCAGATTTGGTAACAGGCCATTACAGCAAAATGTGCTAAGATTCTAAGCATGTGTGTGTGCATAAACTTTTATTTTAAAGAATAACTCTAAGAGTTGGGGTCATCATGAGACAACAGATTACATTTGATGATGGAAATAATTTATTTTACACGTGCGACTACTGCTACTGTTCTCAATTCTGAATGCCTGGAATGCTACCTCTTTAAAAGTCTGGTTCAAATGTTATCTATTTCATACTAACTGGATAAAGAAATAGTAGAACTGGCACAGAGGAGCTATGGTTACTCCTAATGCTTTGACAAGAGATAAAGAATACAAGCTTAAAACCTTTCCTATGAAGTAAAAATCCAAGAGCTTCTTCCCTCTCCCACCTAAAACCAGTTATTTTCCTATTAAAAAACCCTTTGGAAATAGCCAAGAAATGCATTATTCTATATGGTGGAAAACATCCCTGGATAATATCTTAATGCCTCTAAATGATTCACTAAGTGTGACCATCCAACAATGTTATCTATTGGTTGGCTTCCATAAAGACCCTCCTACCAAACACAATACCTTCAGCTCAGCATATATACTTTTTCATTCCATATTCAGCACAAGTGCATTCCATATTCAGATTTTTAATTACAGTGCTTATGCTTCCATTTTTGTCAGGATAATTATAGCAGATATAAACAGCTCTCTTTCCATAATCTAAAACCAACTAATAAAGAAAGTAGACACTAAGGTACAAAAATATTTCATGCTTAAAGGCAAATGTATTCAGTTCCTTTCCATGCAGCACATAATAAGGTATCTATCTATGTGCTTGTTATTTCTTTTCCAAATCAAGTTTGGGACAGCCTTTGAGGATCCATTCATCCTCCATGGCAAGCCACCTTGCACCTTGTTCTGGTATCTTATGTAGTGGGGAAAGGAACATTCTTGCTGACCTATAGATTAGTCAAGTGGGGAGTGTGCTGGGAGAAGAGCTAATGTCTATTGTTTCTTCCAGTGCTGTCAAGCTCACAGTAGGGCCATATCAACTTGTACCAACAGATGCCTATAGAAGCCATTCAGATATGCCATAGCAGGGAGGAAGGCATGGGATAAGAGGACGAGGAGACTGATGTCCTAATGATGGAGTGAAGAGGCTGCTGGTTAGAAAAACCAGGAATAATGGAAGTGACGTTGTCCTCTTTAGGATGCCATGCCAAGGAGAAAGCCTCCGAAAAATCCACCAGTCACTATAACATTCTTCTTCACAAATGACACCACCTAAGAAAAACAGATAGCACAATGGGTTATTTTGCTAAGGATATCATTATTAGGAATCATCTGTGTTACCTACTCAATCTTAACAATGTCAATCCCCTTACCTGTTGAGTAGTTTGTACTTTACTCACAGCGCAATAGACGCCATGAATGGACTAATGTGAAAATGACCACTCACTGCTGTGGGGAGAATAAGACTACAGGGAGCCAAACAGGAAGCAGGACATAGCTCAGGAGGTGAGACGACAGGTCTTTGGATCAAGGTGATGGCAGGGATGCTTGTGCAGTGTTCAAATTCAAGAGATATTTTTGAACTGGGACTTTGTGACCAGATGACTGGCCATATGAGGGATGAGGAAGAGAAGTCAAGGGCAAATCCTTGGATTCTGTCTTTAGTAATGCTGTTTAGAAAAGTAAGAAATCTACCGGAGAGTAGTCCATGCAGGGACAGGAAAGGACAGAGGTTCACGGGGACAGTTATGCGGAAAGACTTTAAGATGCATTCAATAAACTTGTTAGAGAAGCCATTCTCCCTGGTTCCAATTTCACCCCTTCTGTTCGTTTCAGCACCTACTCTCTAATGGAGGCTGCTCACTCTGAGGTCTCTCCTCCAAATCTCTCTATCCATTCATCCTGTCCATCTGTCTATCTGCCCATCTAACCACTCATGCCCCTCTGAGACCTCCTCTCCAAGGAGATGCTATGAATTCCCATTCTTACACTTCACCACATCAGAAGATGATTAACAGGTGAGGTCTTTATTTTCTTAAATTCTCAAAGCTTTCCACCTCCTGTAAAAGTTCCTGCTCATCTGCAGCTCCGTCATCTCCATTTCAGAGAGAACTTTGGTAAATGAGTCAGACTCTCTCTTTCTCCCAAATACAACCACCACCTTAGAAAGTGTTCTTAGGGACAACACATCCAGTATCCTGACCTAATCATTTCTTGAACTCAAGTACAGTGACTTCATCTCCCAACCATTTAAGCCACTCACACCCTGATCTTCCTTTGACCTTTTCCACTCTACTACCTACCCCAGCCTCCTCAGACTCTCTAGCGTCCTCACTCCCACTCCTCCCCCTGACTCAGTTGGACCCCACATTTCCCTACTTGAGGCACTGTCTTTTGCCATCTGCCATCAGAAGGAATGAAAAAAATCATACAACTTCCTGATATAACTGCTTTCGTTCATTATCTTTACTTTCTTACTTCCTACTCATTCCTCAACTTGCTACAGTTGTCTTTCAACTCTACCAATCCACAAACTGTTCTCACTGAAGTCTCTCATGACTTCCTTGCTGCTAAATACTGAACTTATCATCTTCATTCCCTGCTTCCCAAATAAGACCATGGGCTCTGAGGTGTGGAACCAGCCACTATCCCTGGGGCCTATAACAATGCCAGGCTATGAACAGGAATACAAAAGTTTGTGGAATGAACCAACTCCAACTCTTTTGGTTAACAAGTTTCCTCTGAGTCAACAGTTGGTGCTAATCAAGGATTAACATTATACTTTTTATTATATATACTTCCTCTATCATTATATATATATATCTCCTGTATCATTAAAGAAGTTTTCAACAATCATGTATTACTTTTGTAAACATTTGAATAATAAAGTTTTGGCAAAATGAAAAAAGTGTAACTTTCATAACCTTGAGCTTGAGGAGAAGGGATGGAAGGAGAGAAGGAAAGGGGAGGGACTATCTGTGCTCCTGGGTCCCCACAGAGCCCACTTTCCATTCTGGATAAAGGACCAGCTTCAGCAAACCACTTGCCACCATACAGAGACTGTCACCATGTACCTGGAGATGTGGAGTTGTCTGTTCAGGATTTTTCTGGTCTGCTAAGTCATTTACCACTCATCTCTCTGATTTCCACCTTCCAACAATTTGCTGACATTTCTTTCTACTGGTATTCTTCTCCTATTCTCTTGGTCCTTGTGAGTTTAGCCTTTTTTTGTTGTTGTTATCGTCAGTCAGAAATATTTCAGAAGGAAGTGGAAATAAATGCATGTGTTTAACCTGACATTTTTAACCTAAGTTCACCTACTACCACCTATTCTCTTTGATTAAGTAACTTTTTCCTGTCACAGCTACTACAGTGTGAGTGCCTCAAGGACAAGGCCTATTTCAATTTACCTCTAAATCCCTCTTTTGCACTCATTCTGTCCCTTTTCTCTGTGAATCCAGAACACCATTGCTCCAGGCTATGGAAGGTGTCAGGAACCTTCTTGATACCTTGATCCTGGTTCATTTCTCCCCAGTTCAGTGCACCTATTTCTGAGACATTTTACATATTTCTAAAGGTAATAAAGAAGTAGCAAAATACATCCTTTTAGAAAGACTTCTCCTGTCCCTCCAGTGCCAGCCAATGTAACCTAACCTGGTTTTAAGCATTAGATCAGGGGTTAGCAAAGTACAGCCCATGAGCCAAATCCAGCCAGTCACTGTTTTTAAATAAAGTTTCATTATAACACAGCCACACCCACTTGTCCACATATCATCTATGGCTATTTTCACACTACACAGTAGACTTCAGTGGTTGTGACAGAGACCACACGGCCTACAAAGCTGAAAATATTTTACGATCTGTCCCTTTACAAAAAAAGTTTGCCAACCCCTGGGCTAGACATTCCTGCTAGTTATGTGTAGAATAAGTCACGTATGGACATTTCAGGGATGTGTGTACATAGACACAAAATATGACTCAAAATTATCATATTGCCTACACAATCTATCTCCTTATTATCCTCCCCACTGGCTGTGCTGCCCCCATCCCTACAAGAATTAGTTCAAGGGATGACTGACCCACATATGTGCACGTATCCCTTTACACTCTCACTTACTGATAAAGGTCACCAAACACTTCAATTACCCAGCTTTAAAAAAATGCCTCTGAGGTGAAGATCTTCCATCCAAGGCTGACGTACTGGTGTCTACCCCATTTTTGTACACACAAAATCGTCTGTACCATTCACACACTGTACATGAACAAAACAAGTCTCACCTCCTCTGCTTTGCTTTTGACCTCTGTAGGTATCTGGTTGCTCTTACGGATCTTCAGCTGTTCCTTGGCTTTCTTCATGTCCTTCTCTACTCGCTGCCAGTCAACTTTGATGTACCCAGTATGGTTTGCAAGCTATAGTTTCAATGACAGCAAGAAGTAAAAAACACAGGATTGTTATTTCTTTTTGTCAGGATGAATCACTGAAGTACATTATCAAAAACCCTTCTAATTTTCCATTTTTGGAGACATTTGCCATGCAGTTCTTTGTATGACAACGACATTCACTCAACATCTGTTCAGCATCTACCCTATGTGCAAGGCCGTATGCCTGATGCTGGAAATCAACAGACTGGCCTTCAATGACTGCTAGTAATTCTTTTACTTTATTTATACTCTTACCCCTCTCTACAAAGTTTTAAGTTAGCTTAAAAAGATAAAAAGGTAAAATGAAAATTAGAATTGGAAATCAAGATGTAAGGTGAAGAAACAGACCTTACAGCCAACATAAGTCTGAGTTTCTTGACAAAGTGAACAGAGCAAGGCTGTCAGATAGTAATCACTGGTGCTCAGAGAGAAGTCTTCTAGCACATGGCCCCGCAGAGATTTCTCATGAGTGACTTCATACGAGGGGTACTGGGAGAAGCACACCCAAATATCCCCACAGAATATGCCTATTTCCCTTGGTAAAGACAGCAGGCACAACACAAAAACGCAGTGCAAACAATTTCATCAAGAATGTGTGAGCAGGATAAAACTGATTCAAGTATGTAGTTTTGTGCTAGATTAGTGTTATCCAAAGAATTGAGCCACTGATTACAGCCCATTAATCAATCCTCCATCAAGATCAGCTCTCCCCACCAAATTTTTGATAAGTCATATCCACCTGGATTTCTCAAAATACTTAAAACTGTAACTCTTCTCCTCTCTGTAGTCTCCTCCTGCATTATTGTCCTTCTTCTAGTCTCTATTTTAGTTAATGGCACCACCAACTAATCAGTCACCCAAATCAGGCTGGAGAAAATATTTGCTATATATATAATAAAACATTAATCAAGGAAATTCAAATTAAAGTTAATGAGCTACTATAATTTTTTATCAGACTGGAGAAAACCAAAAGACTGAAAATATCCAGTGTTGGGAAGCATGTGGGGAAAGAAACACTCTTATCCACTTTTACTGAGAACATTAACTGATAGTCTTTTAAGAGAAAGATTTGGCATTACCTACCAACACTGCCACTGCATGTGCCATTATGCCATCCAGAATGGCAGCTCTTATCATAGCAGCTTTACTTGTAACAGTCAATAACTAGAAATAACCCAAATGTCCATCTACACGTGAATGGATAAACAAACTGTGCCATGTTTACACAACAGGATATTACTCAGTTCTAAAAAGAACAAACTACTTATAGCAGCAACATAGTTGGATCTCAAAAATTATACGCTAAACAATGGTTCCAAATCCTTTACTCCACCATGACTTTCCCATAGGACAAGAGACATGCAACAGTTACTTGAGGGCTCGTGCCTTTCCCGTTTTCCCTCCAGTACTACCTGGCCTAGATTGAAGGCAGGACTCAAAAACATCTGACAAAATTCAACACACATTCATAATAAAAACTCCCAGAAAAAGAGAAATGGGGGGGGGGGGACTTCCTCAACTTGACAAAGAACATCTACAAAGGAACCTACAACTAACATTGTACTTATGGGTGGAAGACTGAATGCCTTCACCCAACGTTAAGAACAAGGCAAAGACGTCTACTGTTTCTACTCCTATTCAACATCATACTGGAAATGAAGTTGTACTGAACACAAGAAGGCAAGACAAGGATCGAAGAGGCATCCAGATCAGAAAGGAAGAAGTCAAACTGTTGCTATTCACAGACATGTTTGTCTACATAATGTCAAAGAATCCAACAACAAACAAACAAAAACTCCTACACTGAAAAAGTGAGTTTACCAAGGTTGCAGAATACAAGATCAACACATAAAATCAACTGTATATCTATATGCTAGCAATTGGAACAACTGGAAAGGGAAATAAATTATGATTTACAATAGCTGCAAAATAACTAAATACTAGGTATAAATCTAAACAAAAATCATACAGAATCTGTATGCTGAAAACTACGAACTGCTGCAGAAAGAACCCAAAGATGGCCCAAATAAATGGAGGGACAGGCTGTGTACATGGCAAATAAGCACATGAAAAGATGCTCCACATCATTAGTTGTATCATTCTCAGTCCAACTGGGAGACAGCCTTAGGGGTGAGAACAAGTGACCAAGGAAAGCCACAAGAGCGACTAAAGCTATAAGATATCTAGGAATAAAATCGAATCACAGATGTACAAGATCTATATGGAAGAAAATAATAAAAGTCTATGCATAGACATTAAAGACAAATAGAGAGAAAGCCCATGTTCACAGATAGATGACTCAGTATCATAAAAGATATTAATTCCCAAATTCATCTATATGGTTCCCACGCAATTCCAATCAAAATTTCAACAGAATTTTTCAAAGTAATTGACAAGCCTGTTTAAAATTTAGATGGACAAGCAAAAGCAGCCACAACACTCATGAAGAATATGTGAAGAAACTTGTCTTACCAACTATCAAGGCTTAGTGAAGGTAGGGAGTTGACCAGTGGAACAGAATAGGGAAACTAGAATCAGACCCACACATATATGGATTTTGATATATGATAGAGGCAACACTACAAATACTGGGAAAATGAAGACTTGTTCACTAAATATTGCTAGGACAATTATCAGTATAAAACAAACTAGATCCTTACATCAAACCTTAACCCCTGATCTCCCAACATCATGCCTACTTCCCACCCTCATCCCTCTGATGACAGACATGAGTGCACAGCAGACTCCCCATGTCCACCTCCCCTAGCAAGGAGGCATCCCTGCATTCCTTGAATATCTGACCCATTTTGAGGTTCTCTCCTGGAGGTACTTTCAATACCAATTACTTCTGCCAGTCAGGGCCCCAAAAAGAAACAGAGGGTATGCTCAGATTAAGACATTTCAACGTGATATTAAGATATTTACAAACTTTGGGGCATGCTGCAGGGGAAACCACAGGGATAGAGCAGGACTGTGGGTCTAGCAGCAACAGAGCTGTCACTGCACTTCCACCTGAAGGAGTGAGAGGAAGGAAAGATTACTGCAACCCAGAAGGAGACAGACAGGCATGAGGAGGGGGCCCTGCCTTGCAACGAGTCTGACCTGTCCAGTAACAGAGTCAGCCCCTGCCAAGCCCACAGGGAGGGAGCCAGGAAAGTAAATATTGAATTGGGGGTGGGAGAAGGCTGCTAGTAACCAGCAGAATGCTGCAAAAGTGATGCTGCATGAGTTTCAAGGCTAGGGCAGAAAAGGAGGTGCAACTTTCACGTGTCTCTGGAACACTTGTGCTTGGAGCCCTGAGGCACAGTAGTTTGAGATAGCTTAAACTAGCCCATGCAGAAGGACCATGTGGAGGAGCTCTGAGACTATTGAGAGCTAGGAAGGGGTTCGAGGAGCGGGGGAGGGGGCGAGAGACAGAGAGAGGCCCAGCCAGCCCAGACCTCTGCTCATCCAGCTCCAGCCACTCCCTGTCAAAAATCAGGCACAGGGGGCGGGGGGTGGGGCTAGGCTCCAAGCATCAGTAGTTTTTAAAACTCTCAAGTAATTCCAGTGTGGATTCAAGTTTGCAAACCAATGCTGCAGAGCATCCTAGCACCCAGAAAACTAGCACCTAGTGGTTCTGAAATAAACTTCAGGCCAAAGAGACAACATAGGACATCTGCCTGTACTGTCATCTAGCCCTCATTTCTCATCAACTGCTCTCGGATCAAAGCTGGCTATATTAGTGTATAAGAATAAATCGTATCACAGGGCACTTGCATTACACTTTGTATTTTTGAAATCATATTTGCTTAATATTTCAACGGGTCTAAGGGAGCTATGATAAAGAATATGTACTAATGTCCTCATGTTATAAATGACGACTAGTAATTGATGAAGTTTGACTCAAATGGTCACTAGTATTTCAAATAGTACAGGAAAACAAGAGCAAAGGCTATTCTAGTATAAAACGCCAAGACTATCTAGATTACAGCTCCTCACACCACATTCCTAATGGGCAAGTGGAATTTCCAAACTTCTAGGAATATTTCACATACAGACCTGAAGGAGAAAAAATCCACCTCCCACAGCTGTTGCAGCCAACTTTCCAACCTTCTGGAATATGAAACCTGTGCACCTACAAAAACAAAACCAGCATCAGACAAGTTGACATGCTGTCAGATACACACAAACATGCACTTCTAATAATGTTCAGATCCTACTTACCTTGGCATGATCCAGCTCCTTCCTACCCCATACATAAAGCCAGGCCCCAGGGGGAGCATGGCATAAGTATATAGCAGAGGCTCTGAACTCAGAAAGACCCTGAGTCAAATCTTGGCTTACTTATTAATTTTGTGGTCTTGAGCAAACCTCTTAAAACTCCCAGGTTGCATTTTTAAAAGATGACTCTGGCTATAGTGTGGAGAATGGATTAAAGGGTTCCAGAAAGGATCCACACAGAGACTCCAGTTGGGAGGCTGCAGTAGCAATCTGGAAGAACAACGCTGGTGGACTGAACTAAGGTTGTATGGGATAAATGTTAAGGAGGGAGCAGCCCTGAGAACTGTTTGTGAAGCAAATAAAACATGCCTGAGTTTGAGGACAGAGTGGTTGCAAGGGATAAGGAATAGGATTCTGCCCTCAACAAGTAGGTGGACAGGAGTGGCATTTGGAACAATATGAAAACAAGGAAGAAACAGATGAAAAAGCAGGGGAATATGTTGAATGAAATGTTCATCTGATATCTGACTGGCTAAATCTAGCGGCCAATTTAATCTAATTATCTGATTTCTTTATTTTTGTCTATCTCCCTTGCGCAACCTTGCTCCACAAGGGCAAGGATTTTGTTTTGTTCATTACTGTACACTAATATGCTAAAATTATTAACCATTGTTGAAAACGTCTTCCCTAAACTCCCATTCTTCTCCATCCACCTTCCCTTTTCTCTGCTCCCCTTTACAGCAAAACTACTTACGGGTTGTCTATACTTGCTGTATCTATCTGTCCCCGCTGCCCATTCTCTCAAACCCACTCCAAGCAGGCTTTTGTCCCGTGACTTCAAGGAAACCATTCTTATGAAGGTTACCAGTGATCTCAACCTTACCAGATCCTAATGTCCACTCGTCAGCCTTTATCTCATGTGACCTACCAGCAGCTTTGACATAGTCGATTATTCTTCTTGAAATAACTTATTGCTCTGAAATACCATTCTCTCTTGGTTTTCCTCATTCCTCACTGGCTGTTCCTCTCAGACTCTTTTGTTGATTCCTCGTCTTCCTGATCTCTAAATGTTGAATTGCTCCAAGGCTCAGTCCTAGGACCTCTTTTCTCTATGTGTATTAACTTCCTAGATGTTCCCATCTAGTTCCATGGCTTTAAATGGCATCTTCTCTGATACACACTATGACATGGATGAACATCAAAAAGCATTATGCTGGGCTTATGATGAGATTTAGGAATTAGTGATTAAGAGTCTTTATCATTAATTTACAATTATAACAAAAACATGGGAGAAATAAGAGCTAAGTAATGATCCGGTTCGCTTTTATCACTGATTAAACAATCTTAGTTGAAAAATGTCAGTTAATGGCTTCATGTAAGGGAATTAGGGCCAGTGGAAGCCAGATGCACAAGGTCACATATTGTATGATTCTATTTATATGAAATGTCCAGAATAGGCAAATCCAGAGAAACAGAAAGTAGACTGGTGGTTGCCAGGGGAAGGGGAGAAAGGGCAGTAACTGCTCAATGGATATGGGGTTTTATTTCTGGGCAATGAAAATTTTCTGGAACTAGATAGAGGTGATGGTTGCACAACCCTGTGAATGTACTAAATGCGGGTGAATCGTACACTTTAAAATCTTAGTTTTATGTTATATGAATTTCACCTTAATAAAAAAATTATATATATACACACATACATAATATACATATTTATACTATACATACATACATATATACACATATATATTTGATCCAAAAGAAAACAAAGGACATGTGCCTCTTCCCTTGACTGATTTTAATCTGTATCCTTTTGCTGTAAAAAATCATAACCATGAGTATACCAGTTCTCAGTGAGTTCTGTGAATCCTCCTAGGGAATTATCAAACATGAGGGTGGTCTTGGGGACCCCCAAACTCTGCAAACTACTAAGTGACTTTGACAAGATTGCAGTATACAAGATCAATATACAAAAGTCAATTGCATTTCTATATATAAACAATGAACAATGAGAAATTGAAATTGAAAAAGTAATAGCATTTACAATACCATCAAAAATATGAAATACTTAGGGATAAATCTGATAAAAGATGTGCAACAGGGGCCAGCCCCGTGGCCGAGTGGTTAAGTTCGCATGCTCCGCTTCAGTGGCCCAGGGTTTCGCCGGTTCGGATCCTGGGCGCGGACATGGCACTGCTCATCAGGCCACGTTGAGGTGGCATCCCACATGCCACAACCAGAAGGACCTGCAACTAAGATATACAACTGTGTATGGGGGGGATTTGGGGAGATAAAGCAGAAAAAAAAAAAGATGTGCAAGACTTACAAATCATTGCTGAAGGAAATTAAAAGAAACCTAAACAAATGGAGAGAGAAACCATATTTAAGGATCAATATACTCCCAGTCAAAATCCCCTCAGGCTTTTTGTAGAAATTGGCAACAAGCTGATTCTAAAATTCATATGAAAATGCTAAGTACCTAGAAGAGTCAAATCAAATTTGAAAAAGAACAAAGTTGTAAGATTTATACTACCTGATTTCATAACTTATTATAAAGTTAATCAAAACAGTGTGATATTGGCACCAAGATGTACAAATCAATTTAACAAAGAGTTCGGAAACAGACATATAGTCAATTGATTTTTGACACAGGTGCAAAGGCAACTGAGTGTGGAGAATTATAGTCTTTTCAACAAATCATGTGGGCACAATTAGATATCCATATGCAAAAAAAGAACTTGGATTCCTACCTTACAACATACACAAACAGTAAATCAAAATGGATCATGGACCTAAATGAAAAATCTAATCCCATATATAGTCTAGAAGAAAACACAGAGGAAATCTTGGTGATCATGGGTTACGCAAATGTTCTCAGATACGACACCAAAAGTTAGAGCTATAAAAGAAAAAGATGATAAATTACATTTCAAGATTAAGAACTTCTGCTCTTTGAAAGACACTGTTAAGATCATAAAAAGCTATAAAGTAGAATATATTTCCAAGTCACATATCTGATATAAGACTTGTATCCAGAATATATAAAAAACTCTTACAACTCAGTAATGAGAGAAAACCAACATCCCAATAAAAATACAGAAAAGATTTGAACAGATACTTCACCAAAGATATATGGATGGCAAAAATAAGCCCATGAAAAGATGCTCATCCTCATTAGTCATTAGGATAATGCAAATTAAAACCACAATGAGATATCACTTCACATCCACTAGGATGGCTGCAATCAAAAAGACATTATGCCAAGTGTTAGTGAGGATGTGGAGAAACTGGAACCCTCATACACTGCTGGTGGAGATGTAAGTATGGTACAGCACTTTAGACTGTTTGGGAGGTTCTTAAATAGTTAAAACATTTACCTACTATTTGACCCAGCCATACTATTCCTAGGTATTTACACAAAAGAAATGACAGCATATGTTCATACAAAGGCTTGTGCACAAATGTTCATAAGAGTTTTAGCCTAAAAGTGGAAATAAACCAATATCCCTCAAAGGCGAATGGATAAACAAACTGGTTCATCCATGCAATGGAACACTACCCAGCAATAAAAAGGAAGAAACTACTTATACACACAGCACAGATGAACCTCAAAATCAGTATGCTAAGTGAAAGAAGTCAGAATAAAAGAATACATACTGTATAATTCCATTTATATATAATTCTAGAAGACACAAAGTAATCTATAGTGATAGAAAGCAGATCAGTGGTTGGTTGGGGGCATGAAAGGGAGGGTGGGATCATAAAGAGGTATAAAGAAACTTTTAGAGTAACGGATATGTTCGTTATCTTATTGTGGTGATGGTTTATGGGTGTGTACATGTCAAAACTTATCAAACTGCTTAAATAGGTGCAGCTGATGATATGCCAATTTATTTATTAAATTGTTAACAAAATAAGAAATAAAGAAAATAGCTAAGAAGTTCCTGTAGTTCCAGGTAAACTACAGTATATTATTTAGTGACAGAATTGACGTTAAAGCTACAAAGAAAGGAAGGAAATAACGCATAACAGTCAGGACAACATTTATCTCTACAGGTTTTTGGGGTACCAGCCACATTTTTTTAACCTGAGTGGTTGTTACGTAGGTGTTCACTCTATATGTATTCATTAAAATGTACATGTATTATATGCACAAAAAAAATCAAAGAAATGATAGAAGAAATTATTAAAAATGAGAAGATTTGAGTCTTCCTATTAAAATTCTCAAGCAGGATAAATTAAAAAGAATCCCCACACAACATTATGATTGTGGAATTTCAGAAAACACAGAGAAGATATTTAAGCTTCCCCTGGGAGAAACAAGTCACATTCAAAGGCATGAGAATTAGACTGGCAATATAATGGAGCAATACCTTAAAAGTTCTTTGCAGCCTAGAATTCATAGCCAAACTATGAATCAGCTTTGGGGGAAGAATGAAGACATTTTCAGAAATGGTAGCCCTTAGAAGACACTGACTATGTACTACAGTAAAACTAAAGAGGAAACCAAGAAAGAGGAGGTTGTAAAATTCAGAAACCCAAGAGAATAATGAAGGACGAGGAAGGGTGTCTTCTTCTTAACTCTTTTCTGTACTGTCCAATAATTCTATAATGAATAAGCATGATTTCAGAATTAGAAAATAAATTAACTTTCTCAGCACAAGGAAAATTCTTTTTCTTTTCTTTCTATTGTATCTATATGAGATGATGGATGTTAACTAAACCTATTGTGGTAATCATTTCACAACATATGTAAATGAAACCATCATGCTATATACCTTAAACTTACACAGTAATGTATGTCAGCTATTTCTCAATAAAACTGGAAAAAAATGAGGATAGATGATAACAATACCAATTTCAGAGTGGCTGTGACAAGGAAATGAGACCTCTATATAAATACTTAAAATAGTACCTGGCATATAGTAAACACTATGTGTAACCATTAAACAACACTTTAACATGACGTTTAGATGAATGCTATACATTGAGTGATCAATTTCACAAAAGTCAATGTGTTTTTACTGGTTAAAGGAGATGGTTCCGGGGCCGGCCCCACAGCCGAGTGGTTAAGTTCCCGCGCTCCGCTTCGGCGGCCCGGGGTTTCCCCAGTTCAGATCCTGGGCACCGACATGGCACTGCTCATCAGGCCACGCTGAGGCAGTGTCCCACATGCCACAACTAGAAGGACCCACAACTAAAATATGCAACTATGTACTGGGGGGCTTTGGGGAGAAGAAGAAGGAAAAAAAAGGAGATGGTTCTTATAACCACAATACTAAATCACGCAAAAAAAGACACTGGACATCTTTCACATCACTTACCATCCAGTGACGCCTCCAATTAACAGCTGGGTTGCCACACTATACTTTTCGGCTGAAGGCCCAGATTCCTGCCCGAACAGCTTGCGCCACCACGGCTGCTTTTTAGCAAATTCTGCAAGATCCAGTGAATCAAAATTTCCCTCAAAGTTTCCTACAAGAATTAAGATACTGAATAAAAACACAGTTACTTTTACAATAAATCGCTACAATTCCTAATTAAATTAAGAGATATTTAAGGAATTTTAGAATAGAGATAGTTGTAATAACCTCCAAATATTATTCTATTTTAAATAGTAAATTAACTCTGAAATTCTGACTAGCAATTTTTAAAAATCAACTAAAATCAACAAATAATATGTCTTAGAGAAAGAAAACCTAGACAATTTAGAATTAGAACTCTAGTTTTTCCTCTCAAATTCAAAAACAAGCAAAAGGACCTAGGAAAAACTTCTAGTAATACTTAACAATGCATCCTAAATGAAATGGATTTTCTTTATTTGCCCTTCCTTTTTAGGAGAAACAATACTATTCAGTAATCCACAAATTCAGAAATTCTCAGTACTATGCGGATCTCCAGTGATAATAAAGGTAAAAGATAATGTTTAATTGAGCTCTTACTATTTACTAGGCAATGTGCTAAGCAATAAACATGTATATTTAATTAAATCCACAGAAAAAAGTAGGTGCAAAACAAGGTACTATTTATTAACCCCATTTTATAATTAAGAAATGGAAGCTCAGAGGTTAAATGATTTGCCTAAGAAGGGAAAAAGAGTTAACAAAATGTAGAATCCCCTTCTGTGGGAAGATAATGGAGGGATAAATTTAATGAAAGATGCAAAAGATTTCTACACTGTAAACGACAAAGCAGTGCAGAGAGAAACTGAAGATGACTTAAATTAATAGAGACATATACTATATGTTTTGCAAGACTCAATATTTGTAAGATGTTCATTCACTCCATAGTGATCTATAGGTTCACTGCAATCCCAATGAAAAAGTAGGTTTTTATCTAGAAATTGATGAGCTGGTTCTAAAATTTATATGGAGGTGTGAAGGACCTAGAGTAGTGTTCCAGTTACTATGGCTATATAACAAATTACCCCAAACTTCATAGAGGAAAACAATCATTATGGTCTCAGATTCTGTGGATCAGAAATTCAGACAGGATACAGCATTACAGCTCATCTCTGCTCCATGATGTCTGAGGCTTCAGCTGGAAGAATTACTGGCAGGGGCCTGGAATCATCTACTACATTCACACACACAGGGTGCCTCTCTATGTGGGTTAGTTTGGGCTTCCTTATAGCATGGTGGCTAGGTTCACAGGCGCCTGTCCCAAGGGAGGGAGGGTGTTAGGGATCTTGAGGGCTAGGCAGAAGCTATATTACCATTTAAGACCGAACCTCAGAAGCTCAGTAACCTCAGTTACTTTCACCGAATTCTATTGGAGCAGTCACAAACTTCCACTCAGATTCAAGAGGGAATATAGGCCCCATCACTCAGTGGGAGGAGTGTCAAAGTCACAATGAAAAAAGAGTATGTGGAATGGGAGATACTGCTGCAATCATTTAGGAAGTACAATGTACGACAAGTGGCCAAAACAATTTTGGGAAAAAAAGAACAAAGTTCAAGGAATTTCAAGACTTACAGAGCTACAGTACAATATAGCTACCAAATGTCAAGATTTATAAAGCTACTATATTTGATACAGTGTAAAACTGACCTAAGGATATACAAATAAATCAGTGGAAGAAAATACAGAGTCCAGAAGTAGATCTACACATATAGTTATTTGATTTTTCAATAACATGGCACCAAGGTAATTTAATGGGGAAATCGGTGTTTTCAGTAATTGTGTTAGAACTATTAGGTATCTGTATGAAAAAAAAAAGAATCTCAATCCCTACCTTACACCATACGCAAACTATAATTCAAGATGGATCATAGGTCCCAATTTAGCAGAACCAAAATATGGATGTTTGAAGAACTGAGCCTTATATGGCCTCACAAGTAGTTAAACGAAAAAAAACTTTCTAATGTAACAACAAAATATTACTGCTATGTTGAAGAAGAAACTTTCTCCCTGGGGTAAAGAATATCACTGAAAACAAGAATGAGTTTTGGGTTTTGTTTTTTTGTAATTTTACCAAGCCCCTTACCTCAATAGGGGGCTCCAGTGAAAAGGGGGGTCAAATCAGAGACGTTTAGTTTACCCAACTTCATTCAGTCATTCGACAAACATTGCCAAGCACTATGCAGACAAAAGTAAGTCACTAGCCTTGCCAGGAAATCAGTGATCACAGTATTATGTGATCATCACTATGATAAGGATTGAAATTCATTATGTAAACCTCAAAATTTCTCACAACAATTTCATAGTTGCAAGTGTCTGATCAACCTATACAGTTTAAGTGAATGAGGGCAGTCCGCTCTGCAGGAAAATAATGACATTGTGCATTCCAACCCCTTAGAGTCACTCAAATTTAGTGGTGTGCTCGTAAAGGTGTAACAACCGGCTTGGGGAGGGGAAAGGAGGTGCTGACTTGCAGTGTATACCAATTTCCACGGTGTATTCACTCACCGAGAGCGTGACATCACTGAACGCAGAGTTGGGAAGAGATGCACAGTAGTGCACCACACTATGTTCTTTCCACTACACAGACACAACAGATGTAAATAACCTCAAGAGCACAGATAACAGTAAAACATGGCAAATAACAAGAAAGTGATGTTTGGAGTAGTTTCACTGCCTTTGCTTCTAATACAATTTATGTAATTTTAAGTTTATATGATTAAGTTTTTGATTATGGCTCTGTTTAGCCATCGGATCTTGTGAGCCAATACTGAAATGAATATAACCTGAAGCATTCAAAGAAGTAGGGTAAGAAGCATGACTTAAAGATGCGCTCCACTGCGTATATTACAGGAAATCTTCCTTTGACTACGCAGCCTCAATAAAAGACAATTTCAAAGTACCAGCCCATGTGTACTACTCTTTCAAAACCATCAATAACGCAGAGGGAGGCGCCTTGCATTAAAAAACACTCTTGACAGATGTCTGAGATGAACGTCCTTAGGGACAAAAGATCCGCCCTCGTCTCAAGGTGCCAGAGCGCTTCCGAGAACAGGGACGGAACGTCTCCGGGCTTAGGCTGTGGGGGGCGGCGCCGGAAGGCCAAGCGAGCTTGACAGGAGACAACACCCCGGGGCAGTTCGGCCCCAGTCTGGCGCCTGACCTTGGCCGGAGCCTGGGAGCTGCCGGGTCAGGGGTGAGCCCTGGGCGCCCTTTCCGCCCACAGGCCGCTTGGGCTCCCTGGGGAGCTCTGCCGGGACGAGCAGGCGCGGAGCCCGTCCCCTTCCGGAGCCCAGGAAGGCGGCTCCCCGCGGCGCGGTTACCTTGAGCGGACGCGGCCATTTCGGCGAGCTCGTCTCGCGATGACAGCCGCAGGGGCTCAGCGCGATAGGACGCGGAGTGGCGCGCCGTCGTCGCCGCAAGCTGGCTTCCGGCACGTGGGGCAGATGTTTCCATTCCTACAGCGACAGCGGAAGAGGGCAGGCTGGGCGCGGGGCGGTCACTTCCCACCCCGCACGCAGAGCTGCGTCACAAGGCTCAGCGGGCGGTGTCACAAGCCCCGCGGCCCCGCCCAGCAGACAGGCCGAGACGCGCGTGCTCAGAAAGCCGGCCGGGTCAGCAAGATGCTGGACCTGTTGCTCAGCTAAAAGGAAGTTCCTAGGAGGCGACTGCGACGTGGCCCTTCTCTAGTAGACTCTTTTCCCCATTACTTTACTAAAAATAAAGAAAGCAGGCTTGTCGTATTTGTTCATGTAAGCATTGAGCAAATATTTATTACTGCCTACTGTGTCCCCGACGCTGTTCTAGTGGAGAAAGACACATTTAAACAAACATTACAACCACAATAACTAAGAGAAGCACTCGGAAAGAAAAGAGCTTCCTTGCCTGCAATGCCTACAAAGCCCTTTAACCATGTGCCAGGGCACATCTCCCCACCCAACCCTAGGCTATTCCTCTTGCTGTCACCACATACCAGTTAATGGCAACTTCACTGTTCCAAAAACCTCGGTGTTATTCCAAACTCCTCTCTTTCAAAGCCCTCAAGTCCAATTCATCAGCATCCCCCATAAATGCTACCTTCACATAAATCCAGCAATTTCTCACCCCTCCAGTGCTACCATCCTAGCGCAAGTCACAATTACTTCTCAGCCCCAGTTAACAGGTCGACCTGCCCCTATTCTTGTCTCCCAAGTCTATTCTCTCCACTGCGACCAGGAAGATCACACCCCTCCTCTATTCAGAACCCTACCGTGGCTCCTTATTGCCCTCAGTGTGGAAGCCAAAGTCCCTTTGCTGAAATGTAACCTCAGTGAGACTTTCCGTGACCATCCTTATTTAAAATTGCGACCTGGTACACCCCTCCTTCCCCTTCCCCTGCTTATTTTTCTTTTGTGCACGGCACTTATTTTCCCTTCTAACATTCTGTATAAGGTACACAAGTATTTTAAGTATTGCTTATTATCTCTCGTTTGTTTATGTTTTTCACCGCTGTGCACCCAGCACCTAGGACAGTGTCTGGCTAGGACAAATGAGTAGTTGTGTGGCCTTACGCAAACCATTTAACCTCTCTGCACCTCAGATGCTTCCTCTGTACTCACTTTGAAGTCTCATCCTGAGGGTTAAATCAGATAATGTGTAAAGCATCTGGCAGAGAATTTATCACCCTGTATTGTAACTGTCTACCTTTCTGTTTCTCCCATTGGCCTAAGACTCCCAGAAGGCAGGAACTGGATGTTATTCATCTCTGAGGCAAGGAAGTATAGCATAGGGGTTAGGAGCATAACTTCTGGATCCAGATTACACGGATTTAAATGCTACAACTTAAAAACTGTGTGACCATGCCAAGGTTCCTAACCTCTCTGTGCTTCAGTTTCATCACCTGTAAAATGAAGACAACAATAGCAGCTGCATTAGAAAGCACTTATTTCCTGGCATATAGTACATGCCAACTATTATCTCTGCACCTGGTGCCTGGCAGAGAGAAGACCTCAGCAAATGTTTGTTTACCAAAGGGGCTTTTTCCTCCTTGTTTCCAACCTGGACAACACCTCACCAATTGCTCCCCAACACATTCTTATCTGTATGGAAAAGGACTCTCAATAATAACATTTCATACATCAACCCTAGTCAAATTTCTTCTTATTAGCTCCTATATTTTGAGGCCCTTGGGGAAACCCTTACTCCCCCTAAAATACGTTTATCTAAATAGAGTCTCTGCTTGAGCTCACCATGGCTACATTTTGATGTAGAGAGATATATCCCATACCTGGACCAAATGTAAACAACCTTAAGAAGCATCAGGTAACAACAAAGCAAGATAAATAAATACACAAATGCCGGGTGGTGGAAAGATATCAGTAGTTCCGCTGGGGGTAGAGAGCTTACAATGTAAATGTGGTGGTCCGTGTTTGAACTCATTGAGAAGTCAAGATTTGAGCCAAGACTTGAAGGACACGTGGGAGTGGAAACATGGAGATCGGAGGGAAAGGTGTTTCGGGTAGAGGAAATAGCCGGGGCTAAGGTCTAGGCACAAGTATGTGCTTGGTATTTTAAGGAAGAGCCAGAGTGAGATGAGACCACAGACGTGGAGGGAAAGGACATGCAGATCCTGGGGGATATTCTAGGCTCTGAGTGAGGTCAAAAGCCAGTGGAGGGTTCCGAAGCAAATGAGTGACAGGATCCACTTTATAGTTTTAAAAAGTCACTCGGTGGTGGCTGTGTGAGGGGCAGAGTAGAAGCAGAAAGACTATTAGAATACTGGTTACGCTTGCTTACGCAAGCGGATTTCAGAATCTTTGACAATACCCACAGCTTCTCTTGCTGCCACTACTAAGGAAGAGGGTTGCAGTAGGCAAGGAATGTTAATAGAAATTAAAGCTCCTTTTCACCTTGACCACTCCCTCCCTCTCTTCCTTTCCTTAAAGGTTCTGATTAAAGCCGCTGTCTGGTGCCCCTACTGCTCTCAGAGGTGAATGGGTTAAGTTTTTAGCTCAGCCTCCCTTTTCCTATTCAGTTCTTCCTGTGGCTGCTTCCCATGGCCAAAAAGGAAGCAATCCTATCCGTTACTGCTTAGTGCTCATGCTGCTGTCACATTCAGCAGGTAAAGTTCCCTAAAATTCTCTGCAAAAATTTTGGGACCTTTCACTAAATCATAGAAAATTTACCTTTTTTTCTCCTGAGAGCCGAAGATATTTTAGAGAATTAATCTTTTGTTTCTGCAGTTGAACATTTTTTAGCAGTTAGAGCCATGCAAATAGAGCTATCCACCTGCTTCTTTCTGTGCCTTTTGCCATTCAGCTTTAGTGCCACCAGAAGATACTACCTGGGAACAGTGGAACTGCCCTGGGACTATATGCAAAGCGAACTTCTCAGTGAACTGCACGTGGACACAAGGTAAAGACATGTTCTATAGTGTCCGATCAGGATTGTGGGGATGTGATTCTGGTTGGAGGAAGGTGCAGACATCAGGTTAGGATGATTGATGCTAGTTAAGCCCTGGAAAAGCATTTCCAGGTAAGGCATGCATGCATCTATACTATTAGCACAAATGCTAATTGCCAATCCTTTTCATAGTTCTGACTGATGTGTTGATATTTTGTTCTGTTTTGTCCATTGCTTCTCTTTGTCACATGCCGCCACTCTGGAAACTAGAGTGTAGAGAGAGCGCGAAGAGGCAAGGAGCATAAGAGAACAAAGCTTCCCTCAGCCTACCCCCAAACTCCCATAGAGAGAAGCAGAGCAATGAAATTCCATCAATATTACACACAAGTTTAGTCTGCAGTTCTCTTTTGTGTATGTATGGTGTGGTTTTGGTATATTTGCCCAGTTTTTGGTGTAAGGATAGTATTAGCCATGAGTTCAGAAGCTTTTCATCTTTTTTGGGTTCTGGTGCATTTTGAGAGAGTAATACGAAATAATCTTTTCAGTATTATTTATGGTCATTGATTTATTCAGATTTTTCTACCTCTTCTTCAGTCATATTTGGTTATATATATTTTCCTAGAAAGTGATCTATTATCCCTAGATTTGATAATGTATTGGTGTCAAGGTATGTAATAGTCTTGTGCTATTGTTAAACTGTTCTGTGTCTGTAGTTATATCTCCTTTTTCATTCTTATGTTGTGTATGTTCTCTTTTCTTCTCTTAAAAGTAATATTTCCAGGAAGTTTCTCAATTTTATTGATCTTCTTAGGGACCATCTTTTGGTTCTATCAATTTCTGCTTTTACTTTCATTAATTCATTCCTTCTCCCTAATTTCCTTTGGTTCATTTTGTTGATCTATTTTGGGTGGGGTTCTGGGGAGGGGGGGGGGAAGATTAGCCCTGAGCTAACATCTGCCGCCAATCCTCCTCTTTTTGCTGACTAGCCCTGAGCTAACATCTGTGCCCATCTTCCTCTATTTTATATGTTGGACACCTGCCACACCATGGCCTGATAAGCAATGCATAGGTCCCTGTCCAGTATCCAAACCAACAAACACTGGGCTGCTGAAGCAGAACGTGTGAACTTAACTGCTATACCACCTGGCCAGCCCCTTGTTGATCTATTTCTTGCTTATTGAGTTGAATGCTGAAATAATTTATTTTTCATTTTGTTTTGTTTTCCTTAAATGTGTATTATAAAGATTTAAACTCAATACATATATAATGGCAATGCCAATATTAAATGTGGTCATGTCATACATACTTTATAGTCTTTTTTGTTCTTTCTGTTTGGCTCCCCACCCTTCTTCTACATTATCCCCCTTCTTACCTATCCCCAACTAGGTCACCTGAGCAGGATATTCTATATTCATGCACACACCCATACACATATATATGCAAATAAAGGTTTTCTTGGTCATTGTTTGTTTTACAAAAATGGGATATTATACACACTTTTCTTGCTCATTAACACCTAGTAGAATTCTGTCCAAGTCAATTGGCATAGCTTCAATTCATTCTTTTTAATGGCGATTATATCCTGTATCATTACATACCAGTGCTTTTATTCCTATGGGACAGATGCTCAAGAAGGATACTGCTGGAATGAAGGGACTATCTCCTTTTTAGTTTTAATTTCCAAAAAGGCAAGAACTCTTCAAACATTTTGACCATCAACATATGGGAATGCTCTTCTCCCTGCATTCCCATCATCAATAAGTTTTATCTTGCTTTTTCATTTTTGCCAGTGTAGTAGTGATAGTGCATTATTACTTTAACTGCATTCCTTTTATTTCTAATGAGGTTGAGCGTCTTTTCAAATTCTTGTTGGCTATTGCGTTTATATTTTGAGATTTGACTGTTCATATGTTTTGCCCATTTTTCTTTGGGCTCTTTCTTTTTTTAAAGAAATTATGAGAACCCTTTTATTTTAACCTTTTATTATACTACATGATAATACCAATGTATATTGCAATTTCCCCCAAGACCTATTGTTTTTCTATTGATTTTGTTTATAACTTTTATGAAAATAGTTTTTAACTTTTATAGTCAAATATATCTATCTTTTCTTTC